TCCGCGTACTTGTTTAAACAAACATGATCGACCCACGAACCCGGAAAGGAATATAGAAATGTAAAGCATGGCAACGTTTCACAGACATCTGATTGGGCGACGGGCAAATGCAATGCTGAATGTATCGATTTTGATGTACTGTGCCGAGGGCTGTGCTGTGCTGCGCCGTGCTGATGCTGAACTGCGATGTGCCATGCCGCGAATGTGCTTTATAGCGTTGTGGATCGAGTCCTCCTTTGCACCCGAGTCCTGACCGAACTGATCTGGATCTCAAGCTCGAGCTGCCTCAGCACATAGTAGCTGCCCCAGAGCTAATTGACAGGGGAACATGCCAGGAGGACGCACCGCGGAACGTCCCAAGGGACGCGCCAGGCGACGTGCCAAAGGACGTGCCACGAAGACGCACCGCGGGACGTGCCAGTGCCGAGGGGACGCGCTACGGAAAGTGCCAATGGACGTGCCAATGGACGTGCCAGGAGACGCGCCGCGCGACGTGCCAGAGGGACTCACCACAGGACGCGCCACGGAACGTGCCAGGTTGCAATGCTGAATGTATCGATCTTGATGTACCGTGCCGAGGCCTGTGCTGTGCTGCGCTGTGCTGAACTGCGATGTGCCATGCCGCGATTGTGCTTTATAGCGTTGTGGATCGAGTCCTCCTTTGCACCCGAGTCCTGACCGAACTGATCTGGATCTTAAGCCCGAGCTGCCTCAGCACATAGTAGCTGCCCCAGAGCTAATGGACAAGGGGACATGCCAGGAGGACGCGCCGCGGAACGTCCCACGGGACGCGCCAGGCGACGTGCCAGGGGATGTGCCACGAAGACGCACCGCGGGACGTGCCGAGGGGACGCGCTACGGAACGTGCCCATGGACTTGCACCGCGCGACGTGCCAGGGGGACTCGCCACGGGACGCTCCGCGGAACGTGCCAGGCAACATGCCAGGCTGCAATGCTGGGGGTATCGATATTGATGTACCGTGCCGAGTGCTGTGCTGTGCCTGGGCGACCTGGACCCGTGAAAACACGCGTTTCGCTCAAGACGTTCTCAGCACATCCTCATGCTAGACATCCGCCTGGGCAACCTGGACACGTGCAAACAAGCGTCTCGATCCAGACTTTCTCGACACATCCTCAAGCTAGACATCCGCCTGGGCGACCTGGACACGTGAAAACAAGCCTCTGGTTCGAGACATCCTCAACAAATCCTCATGCTAGACATCTGGCTGGGCAACCTGGAGGCGTGAAACCAAGCGTCTCGCTCGAGACATCCTCAAGACCTGGGCACGTGAAAACAAGCATTTCACTTGAGAGATCCTCTGAATTCAGGTCCCCAGGAGATGACAAGCTATTACACAAAACAAGCGTTTCGCTCGAGACATCCTCAACAAATTCTGAAAAACAAGCGTTCTGCTCGAGACATCCTCAAATTTTAATTCGCCGGCCCTCTTCCCACTCGTTATTTATCGCAAAAGAAATTCGCCGGCCCTCTTCCCGTCAAACCCGGGGGGAAACCATCTAAAAGAGAACCCTGGGCTCAAGCCCTTTCCGGGAAAAAAAAACAAGATCCCCGGGTAACGGGCTTTCGATGTTTTTTTGTAAAAATACTGCCCTCGCTGAAGCGCTGGCATTCTTTTCGAGCTACCGTTCGTTCCGAATCGTGCTCCCGCTGCAACGTTGGCCTCATTTCCGCGCTTCCGCTCGTTCCCAATCGTGCTCCCGCTGCAGCGCTGGCGTCATCATTTCCAGCACCGTGCCACGGCAAGGTTCTCGGTCCTTCCACATCTATTTCAATAGGCCCCAACATCTAAAAAATGAGCTCCCGACAAAAACCATCGGAAGTGATTCCAGATTCGGAGTCGATTCGTTGACTTTTTGGGGCCGCAGAAGCACCCACCCCAACTTTGAGGCGTCGCCACGCCATGCTATGTTAGGCTACGCGTCCTCATTTCCGCGCTTCCGCGCTTGGGTTTTTGTTCAAAATGCTGCTCTCGCTCAAGCGCTGGCCTCATTTTCGGACTACCGGTCGTTCCGAATCGTGCTCCCGCTGCAACGCTGGCCTCATTTCCGCGCTTCCGCTCGTTCCGAATCGTGTTCCCGCTGCAGCGCTGGCGTCATTATTTCCAGTACCATGCCACGGCATTGCTTTCGGTCCTTCCAAGCAGGCACCAAAATCTAAAGGATGGCCTCCCGAAGAAATCACCAGAAGTGATTACATATTCGGTGCCGATCTGTGGATTTTTTGGGCCGCAGAAGCCCCCCCCACTTTGGGGCGTCGCCACGCCATGCTATGTCATGCTACGCGTTAATACTCAACACTATGCTACACCATGTAATTCTACGCCATGCTTCGACATCAGACTGTGCGAGTAGAGAGGAGATCTCCGCCATGGTAAGGGATGGGAGGGAGGGATAGGACGTCAGGTATGGCGCGAGCGCACCTAGCTTGCCCTCCCCCCCTCCACCTCTCCCCCATCCACAATTACACAATATTCATACTACTCTCCTCTCTCCCCTGGTGACGTCCAAGAAATATTAGGCTCCCCTCCGCGTACTTGTTTTTGTTACAAACAAGAATTCTCCGGAAACGGGGTCGCTTGGGTTTTGTTTCGAAATGCTGCTCTCGCTGAAGCGCTGGCATCACCTTCGGGCTACCGTTCGTTCCGAATCGTGCTCCCGCTGCAACGCTGGCCTCATTTCCGCGCTTCCGCTCGTTCCGAATCGTGCTCCCGCTGCAGCGCTGGCGTCATTATTTCCAGTACCATGCCACGGCATTGCTCTCGGTCCTTCCGAGACCCCAAAATCTACGAAATGGCCCCTCGAAAAAACCATCGGAAGTGATTTCACATTCGGAGTCGATTCGTTGATTCTCTGGGTCGCAGAAGCCCCCCCACTTTGGGGCGTCGCCACGCCATGCTATGTCAAGCTACGCGTCCTCCGAATCGTGTTCCCGCTGCAGCGCTGGCCTCATTTCCGCGCTTCCGCTCGTTCCGAATCGTGCTCCCGCTGCAGCGCGTCATCATTTCCAGCACCATGCTACGGCGTGGCTTTCGGTCCTTCCAAGGGCCAACAATCTAGGAAATGACCCCCCGAACAAAACACATCGGAAGTGATTCCACATTCGGTGTCGGTTCGTTGATTTGTTGGGTCGCAGAACCCCCCTTTCCCACTTTGGGGCGTCATGCCATGTAATGCTCTGCCCTTCTGCGACATCCGACTGTGCGAATAGAGAGGAGATCTAAGAGATCTACGCCTTGGTAAGGGATGGGAGGGAAGGGTAGGACATCAGATATGGCGGGAGCACACCTTAGCTTATCCCCTCCGCCTCCCCCTCCCCCTTCCCCTTCCCCCGCCCCCCCTCCCCCGTTCTTCCTTCCTTCCCCTCCCCCTCCCCCTTCCGTCCTCCTCCTTCCTCCCTCCCCCTTCCTTCCTTCCTTCCCCTAGGGCCACTCCCCCTTACTTCCTCCCCCCTTCCCCCCTCCCTTCCCTTCCTTCCTTCCCCCCCTCCTTCCGTCCTTCCTTCCCCTACCCTTTCCGTGGATCGGGGGCGGCGGAGGCGGTCGAGACGCTGTTCGACCTCATCGGGAATGGGGGTCGGCAAGATATCCGCGTGCAACGAAATAATTCGCCAAGACATCCGCTGAGACTCGCCAAGAAATCCGCCAGGAAATCCGCCAGGAGGCTCGCCAGGTCGTTGGAAACGGGGTTCGCCAGGAGATCATGTTTCAAGTTGGCGCTCCGCGTGCAAAAAGCGGCTGCGTCTCAGTCTCGGAGTCTGGTCGACCCCATTGGACGAGGGCTTCGCCAAGACATCATCCCTCGGGGTGGCGCTGCGCGTGCCACAAGCCGCTGCGTCTCCGAGTCCCTGTCCTTCCTCGTCGTTAACCTTCTCTCCCATCCCTCCTCTTCCTGAGCACGCCGCCCTCGTCACACCGCTAGAACAAAAGAGCGATAGTACATGTCCTTCCCCGTCGTCGTCCTTCTCTTCCACCCCCCTTCCTCGCAGACAAGTCATCCTCGTCGCACGGCCGAACAAGCGTGGGATATACGACGGGGACGGGAATGGGGGGACGCGGTGCGGCTGCAACTGCCCCCTCGGACGCGCGGCGCAGTCCTGTATCGTACCCTCCACGCGCGACATGGCGAACCCATGTCTTCTCTGGGTGTCCTCCACGGCTGCCAGGCAAGCGCGCGACTTGGACAACGTGTCCTGGCAAGCGCTAGTCATTTCATACAGTTTAGAACGCATGCTCCTTGCCGCACCCGTGCTGAACCTGCAAGGCGAGTGCGAGCATGGTGCGCAACTCACAGCCATCTAGTGACACACAAGCCATGATATCACAAGACTGCATTCTCAAGAAGGTCGTCACTGCACGTCGGTAATACGAACCGCAACTGCGTATAACATCGGTGACAATGAATTCTGGGCACTTGCAGGGTGTGGCATCATCCACTTCCTTCTTCGCCTCATCTTCATCGACCTCGTTCTCGTCGTCGTCTTCCTCCTCCTGCTCCTCCTCCCTTTCCCCCTCTCCACACTCCTTCTAGAACCCAACGCAATGCCTTCTTACCCACCCTTCTCTTCCCCCGCGCCTCCACCATCCCGTGGAAGGCAATGGCCGCCACTGCCGTGGTCGTGGTCGTGTTCGTCGCCGTAATCGTGGTCGTCGTGGTCGCTGTCGTAGTCGTCGGGCGGCCCCGCTGCTGTTTTGCTGGTGGCGAGCTGGAGGGATGATTGGAACAACCAGGCCTGGGGAGGAGGGAGGGACGGGTGGAGCAGGATGGGGAGGGGGCAGCAGGAGGACGAGGAGGGAGCAGGACGAGGATGCTGAGGAACTGCAGGAGGATGAGAAGGAGGGAGCCAGAGGACGAGGAGGATGGGGAGGAGGCATGCACGAGCCCTCTCCTCCTCCTCCTCCCTCCCTCCTCCTCCTCCTCCTCCTCCTCCTCCTCCTCCTCCTCCTCCTCCTCCTCCTCCTCCTCCTCCTCCTCCTCCTCCTCCCCCTCATCCTCTTCCTCCTCCTCCTCCTCCTTCTGCAGCTGCTCCTTCCCCAAACCCTAACCCCCAGGGTGCTTCTTGGCATGGGTCCCCACTGCACGACGGCGGCGGCAGGGGCCCGGCCCGCCTGCTGCTGCCCCTCCAGGTCCGAGCACCTCTGCCGGAGCTCCTCCTCGAGCTGGTGCCGCATGTCGGCCATGCGCTTGTCCACGCTCGCGGGGTACAGTCGGGGCCTTGACCTAAGGAACCCTAAATAAGGAACGAGGCCCCTATTTTCCACAAGTTCAACTTCGATAGCGTAGCAAAAACCTAAGGAACACCTAAGGCAAGCTGCGAAACAATCAAGGAACACGGAGCCCCTCCCCAACGAAAAGGGTTTCTTCTTCAGGGCCCCGACTGTACGAGGGGGGTGGGGGGCGGGGCAGAGGGGATCGAGGCTCCAGGAGGATCGTGGAAAGAACATTGAGACAACGGCGGGCGGCTCGCAATCCCAGCTAGCAACATTCACTCGAATCCGATCGAATCCTCAAGTCCGCTGACACCTCCCGTACCCGATTTTCCAAACAGATCCAGCCGCTGCGACGAGAAACCTTCAGGAGGGCCAAACAGGACGGAACACCGCCGTTGTCTCGACAACCTTGCCCTCCTCAGGAAAGATGATTACGGCACTGATTAGTGCTAGCGGGCTGGCGCATGCGACTGTACCCTAAACGCTTTGTGTGCCAATGTTACGTATGATTATTATAGCCAGCGGGGAGGGATTCATGGTTAGCAATAAAAGCGGCCCCTAATCTTCTGTGAGGGAACCTAAGTTAGGAGGGAAAATCACATTAGGGCAAATGTTTTGTTCCTGCAGATGCATCGACCGAACCGTCCAGATTGATAAACCCCTAATGCAATAACGGGGGCCTCAGTGTGCGTCACCACTTGGAGGCGAGCGAGGGGGGGGGAATGAGGAAGAACAGGCCTTCTCAGAATGCGGCGTGACTTTTTTTTGTTGTGTTGTTTTTTTTGTTTAGCTTCTTTCGTCTTCGGGGAAGGCTTAGAACACTTTTCAGAAGGCTGGGGGATGTCCGAACCTCCTCAGAAGGCCGTCTCCTTCTCACTTCCCTCCCACGCACGCCGCCGATTCACTGTGCCATTAAGGTTATGGGTTCTTTCATTTGAAGGGGCCCTGGGACACACAAATAAATACATACAAATAGCAGGATCCCCAATTTTTTTTCATATTTTCTGGGTTTTTGTCTTCCCCCCCCACATCCCATATTTTTCCAATCTTTTCTGGGGAATCGACGATTCATTGTGTCTGTGTGTTTTTTTTACCCTCCTGATCATTCCCGAAGAATCCAGGACCCCCGAAATCGGTGGCCCCCCGTGGCCCCTCCACCGTGGCCTCCCCCCTTCGTGGCCCCCCCCTTGTCGTGGCCCCCTTCTCGTGGCCCCCCCTTCGTGGTCCCCCTCTCGTGGTCCCCCCCCTCATCTTGGCCCCCTTCTCGTGGCCCCCCCTTCGTGGTCCCCCCCTTCTCGTGGCCCCCTCATCGTGGCCCCCGTATCGTTGCCTCCCAGCGTTTCCCCCTCTCGTCCCCCCCTCCTCGTGGCCCCCTTCTCGTGGCCCCGCATCGTGGCCCCCCCTTCGTTGCCTCCCAGCGTTGCCCCCTCTCGTGGCCCCCATCGTGAATCGTGTGCAGGGGCTCGACCACAAGAAACCTTCCACAATAATCCAACCCTGAGACCCCAGGACGTCCATCGATTTTTGGTGCGGGAGCGTCACGCTTTCTCTGGCAGAACCATCGAAACCCTTGAAACTCAAGGCACCCTGGGGGCAAGCAGGGTGCTTCTTGGCATGGGCTTCCACTGTGAAGCTACCTCTCTGGGGCCTCTTGCCGCAGGGGTGCTGCCATCTTTTCTGGCGCCTCTGGGGAGCTGGACGCTGCCATGCAAAACGCCCAGAAGAGCGCATGGCGGCGGGGCCGGAACCGGCTGCGCGCAGCAGTTCTCGAGACCCTTCCTTTCCCAGTCTGAAGGGAGGCCTTCTGTGAGGCGCCAACACACAGCGTCGGGCGATCGCAGCGCATCGCCGACACATCTGCGATGCCGGCATGGAGAAGGTAGGGCCACGATCCCTCAAGACTGAGCGAGATTCACGCTCCCGAGGCCGCGACCACGATCACTCGTAAATTACCCCGCGTCCGCGCTCCCATGGCCACGATCCGTGCAGGGCAGTTTTTAATACATAGGATGTCTAAACATATGAAATTTAATCCATGATCAAATGTATGAATAAACTTATGCATGAACTCATCGTTGTTTTGAATACTCAACCCTGCATTTTTAAGACATGATCCGCACGCGGAGCATGTATTCAAAACGGCACTGTAAACTATACACTACCAGGGCAGCGATCCCTGGCGAATAACGGTGCGTCTGCGCTCCCAGAGCCACCTGGGCAGCCTTGGGCGCCCAGGCCCCCCACAAAGGTCTGCCAAAGAGAAGCGTTGGGCTCGAGACGTCCGCAAGGATCTTCTGCACGCAGGCCGCGCCGTCTTCGAGCGTGTACGCACACAGTATATGTTTTTTGCTTGTTTTTTTGAAATTGGCTCGAGACATCCGCAAGGACTCTGCACGCAGGACGCGCCATCCTCGAGCGGCTACGCACACAGTATATGTTTTTGGTTTGTTTGTTGTTTGGCTCCATTCTTACACGTTCTAAACAAATGGTTCGGCCTCCGGGCACTGTTATCTGCAAAAAAGATTCTGCGCAAAACGTTCCGCCCGCGACCTCTGTTTACCAAGAATCACGGGGGTGTGCAGACATCGTTATGAATTGGTCCCGCACTCTCCTCGAGAGGGCACGCGCGCAACGCATCTGTCCGAAAACACATGCGACTTCATTTAGTTTTTCTCATCGAGCGGCAATTCGCCAGCCCTTCCCCAACATGGCAAGGGGGACAATTCACTAAAAGCGAAGCCCTGGGCCCGTGCCGTTTCCAGGAAAACCAACTGCTGGCACGATGCCCAGCTGCAAATGCTGTCCGACGTCGGCAGTGGCCGCTGTCGGGCATAGGCATGTTTTGGCCTCAAGCGGAAAACGTCCACGGCGACACCGACAGCGAGTCCGTCTGCATCTCTTGTTAGTTCTGTGTGGTGCGTGAGGCGTGGCGCCACGGAGGGAGAAGGGGAGGAAGACGAGGCCGAGAAGGGGGAGGCAGCGACGACCCTCTTTTTCTGTTCTGTGTGGTGCGTGAGGCGTGGCGCCACGGAGGGAGAAGGGGAGGAAGACGAGGCCGAGAAGGGGGAGGCAGCGACGACCCCCAAAGAGCGCAGACGCGACAAGAGCGGGAGGGCAGGACGCGAGTCCGTCTGGAAGCGGGCTGGACTTGCGGACGGTCCTCGCCACCGTTCGGGGCAGTTTTAAATAATGGAATTTTGAACAACTTGTAGGACTTTTAATACATACATTTATGAATAAACTTATAAACTCTAACTTGATAATATAGGACTTTATATTGGAATGATCAATGTATGAATCAACTTATTCATGAGCTCATCGCTGTTTTTAATGCTGCCCCCCTGCATCTTTAAGACATGATCCGCACGCGGAGCATGTATCAAAAACGGCACAGTAAACTATGCGCTACCAGGGCAACGAACCCTGGCGAATAACGGTGCGTCCGCACTCCCAGAGCCACCCGGGCAGCCTGGGGCGCCCAGACCCCCAAAGGTCTGCAAAAGAAGCGTTTTGGGCTCGATACATACGCAGGGATTCTGCACGCAGGACGCGCCGTCCTCGAGCGGGTACGCACACAGCAAAAAATGTTGGTGCGTGTATTTTGTTTATTGGCTGCATTTTTACTCGCTCTAAACAAACTGTTCGGCCTCCGGGCACTCTTATCTGCAAAACAGATTCTGCGCAAAACGTTCCGCCTCCGACCTGTTTTTACCAAGAATCACGGGGCTGTGCAGACACCGTCATGAATGGGTCCCGCACCTTCCGTGCCGACTTTTTCTGCACCTGGCGCTCGCGCCCTCGCTCGGCCCTCTGGCGGCCTCTTTCCGGGGCGCACGGCACACCCCCGAGGGAGCGCCCTCGGCGAGGGGCCGCGGCCGCCAAGAACCCGAGGCCTGGCAGGCCGCCGAGCACCGACGAGCACGCCCGAACACCTCCAGGGATTGGCTGCGGGGCGGGGGACCTCGGTGTGGAATCGGTGGTGTACTCGGGCCGGGCGAGAGGGGGGGATAGCAAAGGGGGGGTTCGAGAATCGACTCACGCAGCTGGTTCTCCCGGCGCCTCCCGGCGCCGGAGGCGGCCATGTATCGAGGAATGGTCCCCTCGGTGGGGCGGAAACCAGCTGCATGCAGCAGATTTCGTAACCCCCCCTTTCCCTATCCCCCCCTTTCGTCCGGCCCGATATACATCACCGATAGGTCGGCGATATGCCCTCTATGATGAAACCGCACGCTCCCAGGCCAAGGCCGGGCATGCCCTCCCGCAGACGGATCTTGGAGGAAACATTAAACCCGGTCAAACAATGCTCGAGCATAGTCAAAGCATGGTCGAAGAATCGTCCCCAGACTATTTTTTGACGATTTTCGAATACTCCTCCTGTAGAGGGACATGCCCGACTCAATCCTCGGCGGGGCGGGGGGGGGGGGGGGCAAGCTCCGATTGGCGATGGATGGGAGACTGGGGGCCGATGCTCCCCAGGGCCAGCTCACACCTGCCACTGCCCCTGGAAAGCCCGAGCCTCGATCCCCACTCGCTCGACCCCACGAAGAGGCAGCGGGTGCGGAGGGCAACACCTCGCCATCGCTCGGACGTTTCTCTTGCTCGATGGTCCAGGATGGTCCTGGATGGTCCTCGCCGAGAAAGGAATGCACACATCCGAGCGATGCCAGGACACCAGCATCAATGACACGCAGGAGACGCAGGGGGTGGGGAGGGCAACAGCATCGACGACACGCCGGCGTCGGGCACCCACCAGCGTGCCACTGCCGACGTGGCGCCAGGCATGCGGACCACAACGGATGACAGCACGCTGCCGGGCTACTGATCCGCGGCGGCGTGCCACTGACACTCTCGAAGGCCTCCATGTCACTCAATGACGAATTCATCCAGACGCATTCTTCTGGGGAACTTCCTTGGAGGCTTCCTAGATGGCGTCCGGGTAGACGGGGTCGAAGGATCGCGCCGCATCGCTGATGCATCGCCGATGAATTTGCGATGCATCGCCGACGTCGGCGACGCATCGGCGAGGTCGGCGTGGGGAAAATCGGGCTCCGCATCGAGCCGCATCGCCGATGCATCGGCGATGCGACGCGATCCTCCGACCTAGACGATTTTATCTTGGAAACTTCACCTGGACGACCTGGTCGCTTAGGATGAAATCGTTCAGGATGATCTGCTCACCGTCCCCCCGAGGGGAACCGCGGCGTCCTCGCGTGATGCCACGGTGCCGCGGCTTCCTCGCGCGTGGCCTCGACTGTGCTGACGCGTGGCCCCGTCCCCCGACTCTCGATCACGTCTCGACCCTCGACCCTCGACCCTCGAGCCTCGAGCCTCGTCCCTCAATCCTCGACCCACGATCCTCGACTCCCTCCCGAAGGGGGCGCGCCATGTCTGACCAGCCGCTCGCTGCGCGCAGGCCGCGCCGTCGGAGCCCCCCGCGAAGCGACGCGCCCGGGCGGCGCGGTGCGCCGCCAGCGCGGGAGGGCGGCCCCGCGCGCCGCAGGTCTGCGGCGCCGACGGCGCGGCGGCCTCGGCGCAGCTCAGAGCCGAGGCCGACAGCACACCGGCCCCGAAGCGCCCGCCGCGCGGCGCGCGCCCGCGCCAGCGCGATGGGCGCGGCAACGGTCGCCGCCGGCGCCGTAGCCGCCGCTTCCGCGCAGGCTGCCCGGCCCCCTGCGGCGGCGCCGCCCCCGGCGCGGGCGGCGCGCCTCAGAGCCTCGGGTGGCGGCCTCGCCGGAGCGCGGCTCAGAGCGCGCCGCCCAGCAGGCGCTTCATGACCTGCGTGTTTTTTGTTTGTTCGTTGTTCCTTCTCTTCCTCATTTCTATATATATATATATATATATATGTTCTACGTGTGTTGTTGTGGTTGTTGTGGTGGTGGTTGTTGTGTTGCTGCTGCTGCTGCTGTTGTTGTTGGTGTTGTTGTTGTTGTTGGTGTTGTTGTTGTTGTTGTTGGTGTTGTTGTTGTTGTTGTTGTTGTTGTTGTTTTCACTCTCTCTCTCTCTCTCTTTGCGGCGCCGCCGGGCCGCCCTACGGGTGCTCGGGCGCGTCTGCGCAAAGGGGCCATTGGGGCATTGGGGCCCCTGGGAGGCCTCCGAGACGCCCCCGAAGAGGCCCCCGAAAAGGCTCCCAGAAGGCTCGCGAGGTGCTCCCCGGAGGCCCCGAACAGAGGCCCGAGTGGCCCACACTGTGGGAGCCCATGGTGTTCCCGAGCACCTCGCGCGCACTTCCCAAGCACTCTGGCGTTATGGGCAGAATGCCACTGACGAACATACTGGAACCATCGTGCGCGCTTCGCGCGCGCTCACGTTTCCGTTGCCTCGGAACCCACCGTACAACGCTGATGAGGGACCGTGACAAAATCATCGGGGATCGTGGGCATCGAATCCACCGCGTTCGTTGCTGAATGCGCAATGGGATCAATGATCAAACTAGGGTGGGTCAGGGGTATTCGTACACAGATCATATGTATATCGGGATTGAAAGGGTTAGATGGCAATGGAACTCGGAGCCCCCTACTGGGAAATCGGCATCGGTTTTGAATTCGCGTCGTGCGTGCAAGGGAGTGCTGCGTTCGCGGGCGAGAGGACTGAACAGTCCTCTGGCTAAGGCGCCGTTGGGCAAAAAAACGCCCCACCCCACTTGTCCACCAGTGGCCAGGGGTGTCCCGCAAGTGTCCCGCGGGTGCCCCGTCGGTGTCCCGTCGGTGTCCTGTAGTGAGCTCGATGTTGAAATCGATGGTGATATCGACGGTGAGATCGGTCGTGAGAGGAAAAAGGGAGAGGGACATGGACATGGATGTTGATATCGATCGTGATATCGGTAGCGAGGACGATTGTGGGATATCGATCGTGAAATCGATACGAAGAACGATCGTGACATCGATCGTGATATCGGCGGCGCCAACGATAATAAGTTAACTAGTTCAGCGGACAGCACTCTCGATGGTGATGCAGTTATATCGCTCGTACAATCAATAATGAGATCGGTCGTGAAATCGACCGTGCGATGATATTGATGGCGAAACCGATATTGTGAGACCGCTAATGAGATCGATAATGATATCGGTACTTCGTGAAATCGATAATTACATCGATCGTGCGATCGCATGAGTGGGACGTTGCCCCCCCCCCGAACCCCCCTAAAACCTCCTGATCACCCGAAGAGTGGTCGTGTAGGCGTACGCGTGTGGCACATGGATGCACGCGTGCAGCATGTAGACATATCAAACCGCATTTTGTGGTCGCTTGGAAGGGGGGTGGGGTTGGAACCGGACCCCCCCCGCCCCGGGAAGGGGATCGAACCCCCCTTCCCCCTCCCACACCCCCGTGATGGAGGGGGGGGGGTTCTCGAACTCCCCCCCGCCACTCCCCCCCACCACTCCTCCCCTACGTCTCCTCTCCACCTTTCCTCGGGCTGGCGCCGGCGTCGGTGGCGGCTGGCGGCGGCGGCGGGGAACGTCGATGAAGACGGCGACTTCCTTCTCCGGGCTGGCGGCGGCGCCGACCAGAAGGACCAAAGAGGGCCGCGAGAGATCCCCGAACGCATCCACAATGGCCTCAAGACGGCCCACGATAGCACCACTATGCCCCTGAATTTCCTAAGGGCCTCCCAGAGCGTAACTGCTGCTGCTACACATCTCTGATCAAGGCAACTCACCTGGTGGCTGCTTTTGCATGCGCTGGCAGGGGTACGCCAGGCGTCCAACATTTACTTGGGCGTAGCGCTCTCTCCAGACACCTCCTTACAGTTTACCCAGGAATCGTGTCCTCGACCCGGCGCTCGCTACCACCTCCCTCGAGCCAGCCTACCGCAGAGGATGCGAACCATGAATGTGCATGAGACAGGTGGGGCTGTCCTCACCCGGTGTTCCATCGCAGGTTCCCACGCTTCCTTGGTCCAGGCAACTCGCCTGGGATCGTTGCTGGACGGGCTGGCGGGGCTTCGCGAAGCAGCACAATTCCTGCTTCGCTCGAGTCCTCCGCATCTGCCAGCAGACGCCTATCATGTGGAGGGCGGAAACATGAGTGCAATGGCCGAACCCCGTCCGCCACCAAACCCCGTCTGGGGCGGCTGCCACGCTCGAATGCCGAATTCCGTCCGCACCAAACCCCGTCAAAGGGCAAGCGGGCATTTGGCTTGGGGCGGGGTTATCGGGTATTGGGGGGGGGGCGGTCCGCAGGGAGAAGGAGTTGTGACAGGATGCGCATGACGGCGGCAATAAGAAAACAATACCGATGATGCCAACGCCAGAGATCAATTTCTCTCATCCGAGACCTCGTACGTGCCCCAACACATGGCCGCGGACGGAGCCGCGAAGACGAGCCTGGGCACCGTGCCGCGGAACAAGCCGGCGACGCCCTCCTGTGCATGTCAACAACGCCAGCAACAAGCTACAGCGCGCCGAATAATATTGAAGGGGCACTGGGACACACAAATAAATACACACATAAAAAGAATCCCCATATTTTCTTGGTTTTACCTAATAGCGAAGACCGATAGGTTCCTAGTGGTCTCAAAAGAGAGCATCATGACTCCCCAAAGGGGGTCTGGGCAGATGCCGGACGGGTGCCGCGGGAATCCGGGGACTCCTTTTTTAGCCAACTGTAACGCACTTCGTGGTCTTCGAGTTCCTAGAACTCCATTCCTGGGCATGATTTTGAATGCCCGGAGCCAACTGTAGGCCACTTCGTGTTCTTCGAGTTCCCAGAACTCCATTCCTGGGCATGATTTTGAATGCCCGGAGCCAACTGTAGGCCACTTCGTGGTCTTCGAGTTCCCAGAACTCCATTCCTGGGCATGATTTCGAATGCCCGGAGCCAACTGTAGGCCACTTCGTGGTCTTCGAGTTCCCAGAACTCCATTCCTGGGCATGATTTTGAATGCCCGGAGCCAACTGTAGGCCACTTCGTGTTCTTCGAGTTCCCAGAACTCCATTCCCGGGCCACATTTTGAATGCTGAGGCAGGCTGAGGCTGAGGCTGAGGCAGGCTGAGGCTGAGGCAGGCTGAGGCTGAGGCCGAGGCTGAAGGCAGACTGAGGCTGAGGCTGAAGCAGGCTGAGGCTGAGGCTGAGGCAGGCTGAGGCTGAGGCTGAGGCAGGCTGATGCTGATGCAGGCTGAGGCTGAGGCCGAGGCTAAAGGCAGATTGAGGCGGAGGCTGAAGCAGGCTGAGGCTGAGGCTGAGGCTGAGGCAGGCTGAGGCTGAGGCTGAGGCTGAGGCTGAGGCAGGCTGATGCTGAGGCAGGCTGAGGCTGAGGCTGAGGCTGATGCAGGCTGAGGCTGAGGCAGGCTGAGGCTGAGGCCGAGGCTGAAGGCAGATTGAGGCTGAGGCTGAAGCAGGCAGGCTGAGGCTGAGGCTGCTGGCTGAGGCAGGCTGAGGCTGAGGCAGGCTGAGGCTGAGGCTGAGGCTGGCTGAGGCAGGCTGAGGCTGAGGCTGAGGCTGAGGCTGAGGCTGAGGCTGAGGCTGAGGCAGGCTGATGCTGAGGCTGAGGCTGAGGCTGAGGCTGAGGCTGATGCAGGCTGAGGCTGAGGCTGAGGCTGAGGGAGGCTGAGGCTGAGGCTGAGGCTGAGGCAGGCTGAGGCAGGCTGAGGCTGAGGCTGAGGCTGAGGCTGAGGCTGCTAAAGGCTGAGGCTGAGGCTGAGGCTGAGGCAGGCTGAGGCTGAGGCTGAGGCAGGCTGATGCTGAGGCAGGCTGAGGCTGAGGCTGAGGCTGATGCAGGCTGAGGCTGAGGAGGCTGAGGCAGGCTGAGGCTGAGGCAGGCTGAGGCTGAGGCCTGAGGCTGAAGGCAGACTGAGGCTGAGGCTGAAGCAGGCTGAGGCTGAGGCTGAGGCAGGCTGAGGCTGAGGCTGAGGCAGGCTGATGCTGAGGCAGGCTGAGGCTGAGGCTGAGGCTGATGCAGGCTGAGGCTGAGGCAGGCTGAGGCTGAGGCCGAGGCTGAAGGCAGACTGAGGCTGAGGCTGCAGGCTGAGGCTGAGGCTGAGGCTGAGGCTGAGGCTGAGGCAGGCTGAGGCTGAGGCTGAGGCAGGCTGATGCTGAGGCTGAGGCTGAGGCTGAGGCTGAGGCTGATGCAGGCTGAGGCTGAGGCAGGCTGAGGCTGAGGCCGAGGCTGAAGCAGACTGAGGCTGAGGCTGAAGCAGGCTGAGGCTGAGGCTGAGGCAGGCTGAGGCTGAGGCTGAGGCAGGCTGATGCTGAAGGCAGGCTGAGGCTGAGGCTGAGGCAGGCTGAGGCTGAGGCTGAGGCTGAGGCTGAGGCTGAGGCAGGCTGAGGCTGAGGCTGAGGCTGATGCAGGCTGAGGCTGAGGCAGGCTGAGGCTGAGGCCGAGGCTGAAGGCAGACTGAGGCTGAGGCTGAAGCAGGCTGAGGCTGAGGCTGAGGCAGGCTGAGGCTGAGGCTGAGGCTGAGGCAGGCTGAGGCTGAGGCAGGCTGAGGCTGAGGCTGAGGCTGATGCAGGCTGAGGCTGAGGCAGACTGAGGCTGAGGCCGAGGCCGACGGCAGACTGAGGCTGAGGCTGAGGCTGAGGCAGGCTGAGGCTGAGGCAGGCTGAGGCTGAGGCTGAGGCAGGCTGAGGCTGAGGCTGTGACTGCAACTGCCGTTGCCACTGCGACTGTCATCGCGAATGCGACTACGACTGCGAGAACAGAATTCTACAACTGTAGTCTAATCTGAATCTTAAGGGGAATGCTTCCAAAGATGCTCCTACACATCGCTGTCAGGTTGCTTTGCCGGGATAATCGTCTTCCCCCCCACTTCCCATAGTTTCCCATATCTTCTGGGGAATCGCCGATTAATTGTGTTTGTGTGTTTTTCCCTCCTGAAGCGCCAGCAACAAGCTACCGCGCGCTGAATAACATGTGATTGGCAGCGTGGGCTAAGAAGCTGAGCCTCTTCGCCGGAAGCCCGATGCCCCAGGAAGGCGTCCAAGGGGCCCTGGAACACACAAATAAATATACACAAATAAAAGGATTCCTTATATTTTCCTATATTTTTGGGTTTTTGTCTTCCCCCCCCACTTCCCATATTTTCCCATCTTTTCCTGGGAGTCGCCGATGAATTGTGTCTGTGTGTTTTTTCCCATCCTAAAAAAACGATGGGCATTCCAAGGAGAGCCCAAACACGGGGACCCTAAGGGTGCACCCCCCGAAAGCACAATTGTTCGTAAAACTCGTCCAAGCTGTATTGGTGTACGTATTTTCTAGCAGGGATACCTCCTCTGGATCGCCTGAACAGCAAAGGTTTCTGTGTTTACACTGTCTAGACGGCAAGCCCACTGAGGCAGTGGACGAATTGGCCGATTGCAGAGTACCCGGCGCAACATGTGGCGCAACATGTGGCACAACAACCTATGAACACGAAATGGTACACTCACTGAGGTGACGGCCGTCCTGGTCGACTGCGGGGTGGGCTCAACCTATGGCACAACCTGTGGGGGCATGGTACGCGAACTGAAACAACGGACGTCTTGGCCGATTGCGGTGTGCCGTGTGCAGTGCAACCCATGGCGCAATTGTACACGCACTGGGGCAACCGAAGATTTGGCCGATTGCGGCGCGACTGGCGCAAACTACACTTGGCGCGATGGTTCACCCACTGAAGCAACGGAGGGTTTGACCGATTTCACCGTGCCTGGTGCAGACTTGGCGCAACCTATGGCGCAACCTTCGGTGCAAGATACACCCACTGAGGTTTGATCGATTGCGGCGTGCCTCGCGCAAACATTGTGCAACCTACGGCGCGCCCTTTACCTGGCGCAACCCATGGGGCATCATATGGGCAACATCCGCATGGACGATGCTGTTTAGGGTCACTTTGCGGGGTGGTGTTTCATCGAATGGGGTACTTCTCCTCCTGGAAGATGGAGCAAGTTTGATGCTCCCATGGCTCGAGGATTGCGAGGTAGCAAGTTTCAAAGTCGCTTGCCTAAGTCTGTCTTCGTAAAAAATATGATCAACCCACGAACCCAGACAGGAATTTAGAAACGCGAGGCATGGCAACAGTTTCAAGACACCTGATTGGGCGACAAACAATTGCAATGCTTAAAACATCGATTGTGATGTATCGTGTCAGAGATTGTACTCTGCGGTGCCATGCTGAAATAAGATGTGTCATGCCACGATGACTTGCGTTGTCCTCTGTCGCGTTGTGTATCAAGTCGCCCTTGGCATTGCCGACGACTACGACGACAACTGACGACGGACGACGGACGGCGGACGACGGACGACGCACGACAGACGACGGACGACGGACAACGACGACGACGACGACAACGACGACGAC